CCTGCCCTCGGGGATTCTACCAGAGCGCTAGCGGCGCCAAAACCTGCGCGGAGTGCAGCTCTGACGAGACCACAGCCTCACTGGCTTCCATATCCGCCTCGGAATGTGTGCCCGGCGGTATGTCATTTGTTTGTTTGTCATTAAAGTGTGGGGTTTACTATAAGTATTTTTTGCCATGCCTCCTCCTACACATTCTATATCAGGGCTCTAAAATAAGCTAACAGTGTTGATAGGAGCATTAAACTCATACACTGTTTACTCCACTCTATTTCCAGAACCATCTCTGCTTGACTTTTGTCCACTCTCTATGTGACCTTTGTCCAATCTGTCCCCAGAACCACCTCTATGTGACCTTTGTCCAATCTCTCCCCAGAACCATCTCTGTGTGACCTTTGTCCACTTTCTATGTGACCTTTGTCCAATCTGTCCCCAGAACCACCTCTATGTGACCTTTGTCCAATCTGTCCCCAGAACCATCTCTATTTGACCATTGTCCCCCCTCTGTCCCCAGAACCATCTCTGTGTGACCTTTGTCCACTCTGTCCCCAGAACCATCTATATGTGACCTTTGTCCACTCTGTCCCCAAAATCATCTCTATGTGACTTTTGTCCCATCTCTATGTGACCTTTGTTCCATCTCTATGTGACCTTTGTCCCATCTCTGTGTGACCTTTGTCCACTCTGTCCCCAGAACCATCTCTGTGTAATCAGTTCAAGTGCCAGAACGGCGGCACGTGCAAAGTGGCAGGACACGACTACTTCTGCATCTGTAGAGAGGGTGAGTCACGGTATATAGGGCCGTATTTGTTTTTCACTCGGTAATGTACATGTACTCAGGGCGTCGGAAACGTCCCGCACCATCCTGAAAAATCTCTTGTTTGTGTATGTATGTGTGTGTGTGTGTGTGTGTGTGTGTGTGTGTGTGTGTGTGTGTTTTGTGCGTGTGTGTGTTTACGTGTGTGTATTGTGTGTTTACGTGTTTGTCTGTGGGGGATGGGGGGTGGGTGGGTGTACGTGGTGAACACAAAATCATTGTGCCTGGATCTGGACAATAAAGATATTATATCTGATCTTATCTTATACATTGTACATGGAAATTAAGGATTTGAAGAAAGCAGTAACTATGGAGGGTGAAAGGATCACACATGGAACACTCAGGCGTGTAAAAGACGGCTTTCTTGAGAGAGAGTTGATGCTTGTTCTATTGCTGAGGGAGCTCAGGTCAAGAATTTATTAAAATCATGGTGAAATCAGGCGCTCGTCATTTTTCTGAGCTTTATGCAATGTTTTTCAGATTTATTTCTATTTTTTTTCTAGCTCAACACCTTTTATGTCAATTTAAGAAACATAGATCTATTTTTGTGTGGAGTTTACTGAAAATCGTTGATTAAAGGCAAAAAACCCCACATCTTTTATTTGCAGTTTCCATGGACTCTCAACCATTCTGGAGTTTATTGCTCATGTTTTTCTTTCAAACATCTATCATTCTCCTCTTCTTTTTTGTTTTTGTTTGTTACTGCTACACCTCTAATATTGGCATAATGAAATAATTGTGATGCGAATGTCGTTAAACGCTTACTAAAACAAAACTTTTTATACGTAATTTATTATTATATCTCTCTATCTATCTCCCTCTTCCCATAAAATAATATTATCGTATTATATCTCTCTATCTATCAATCTCCCTCTCTCCGTATATTATTCTATCTCTCTATCTCTCTCTCCCTCTGTCTCCCCCCCCCATCCCTTCCTTCAGGTAACACCGGACGTAACTGTGAGACCAACGTCAGCCCGTGCGCCTCTCAGCCGTGCTACAACCAGGGAGTGTGTATACCTACTGGTACCACCACCTACCGCTGTAACTGTCCCGGTGAGTGGGTGTCGTCCATCCATCCATCAATCAATCAAATCACCCATTTCCATGCCATCCATCCATCCATCCATCCATCCATCCATCCATCCATCCATCCATCCATCCA